TATTTTTTATCTCATTTTTTCACCTTTAAACAGAAAATAATAGGGTCCACATTCATAAATTCACCACTTGTGTCTTGAAGTAAAAAAATGTGATTAAAAAAAAAGAAAAAAAGATTATATGTAACATTATCTTCTATATTTTTTAGTATTGATGTATAACTTCATTACCAATATTCATATATAATTTCAATAATGCTAAAGGCCCCAACTCAATGACTGAATAAATAACTAAAACATCTCGAGATTGTTTATTATTATTATTATTATTATTATTATTATTATGTGGAGAATTGTATATTTTCTGCTTGTTTCTTTATTCTTTTTGGAATCTATTTTGCATTCTAATATACCTTATTAGACGACTTATTGTCAGATTTACAATGTACTCTTTTGGAAAGCTGGTAAAAAGCCAGCTTCTGGCTTTTTATTGTGAGATCACTTCTCACATAACTTACTCATAAAAAGACAAAATAAATTAAAAAAGTCAAAAAGTCAACTTTTTACCAGCTTTCCAAAACACCCCAATATATTAAGTCTCATGCTTTCTTATGTAAATAATAATAATAATAATAATAATAATACTGAAAATCACTCTTCTTCCCATTCTTTTAAATGAAAGCTGGGGAATTTCAATTCATGGTATCTTTAAAAATAAAAAAATAAAAAAAATATTAAATCAATGACAAATTTTATAAATATTAATAATTAAATTTATAGATAATTTTATTATTGTGTAAATTTTTTATAAAAATTTCACTCATGTGTAATTTCTCCATAAAAAAATACCATTTATCTGAAGCTAAACATTAGTTAAATATTAATAATTTGCTTTCTAAAAGAAATTCATTATTTTGATATAATTTTTTGGAGAAGGAATAAACTAATTTTTATTTTATTGTAAAAGTAAATAAATTTTTTCAGTCATTCAAATGTACCATGAGCTTGCTTTTTTTATTATTTTATTTTGACCTAAAAGCATCGGTTGACAAATTTTTTATGCAACAGAGCTTAATAAGTTGAATGAAAGAAAATCATCATAATGCACAACCCATTATATAATTATTTAGGAACTACAAAGTTTTGGAGTAATAATATACATAATTTCATTTCTTACACCCCAACAATAACACAAAAAATTGTTGTTTCGGCTATGCTATCGGAGGCTCCAAAAATAATGGTATCTCCAATTATAGTTCCATTGGGATGTATAATATATGTCTTCTCACCATCCCCGTATGTCCATCGACAATGCCTTTCAGCTTGATCTTAAGTCCATCGACCATGCCTTTCAGCTTGAACTTAAGCCCTTACACACCGTCCATGGACGGATCTTGTGCTTTGGGAATGTAAGTATGAAATCACGGAGTCTAAATATTATGTGCCCAAAGAGGGGTGAATAGGCTATCTAATTAACAATTATTAATTCTATGTTCAATTTAGTTCATTAAACAGATTAGCACATAAATAAACAATCAACACATGAAGACAAGATTTTACCTGAAAATCTAGAATGGTGAAAAATCACGATCCCAACCTTCAACAAAATTCACTAAGTTCCAAGAATACAAACACAAAGGCCGAGAAAACTTACAACTTTTACCTAGGTTGACCTAATACAAAGTTTTCTAGTAACTCCACGAGTATAGCATGACCCAGTTAGTCTTCTTGATTTTCAAGATTCCACAAAATGTCAACTTCTATCTCCGTTCACAAACGACTTTGATTACCCAACCGGCCAAGAGTGTAGTACACACAATGCCATAATACAAAGTGTTTAAGGTATTTTGTGGCTTTTTGAAACTCAATTCTCTAAAGAGAATAAAATAATTATTTACAAAAGATCAATAGTTGAGATTCCTAAAATTGAATTAAGAAAATGCTGCTTACAAAGAAAAAGGATTTTCGAAACAAGTAAAATTAGGTTTTACGTAATAGCGGCGAAGCCATCGATCGTCATTTATAAAGCGATAGATCGCCCAAAGAGAATCGATCGCCTATTGATTGGAAGGTTCTTGTAAACAATTTAAATCAAGCGATTGCTAACTGATCGATTGCTTCAACTGCAATCGATCACAGTAACCAATGCGATCAATCACCCAAATAAGGTAAAAGGGTTTTGCAAATGATTTCAAACAAGGTTTTGAAAATTTTTTTGTACAAATTCTTTTGGGCAAATTATGTCGGTAGTTCCTACATTTTGTTCATTGTGTCATCTTGGTCCCTACATTTTCAATTGGCACAATTTTAACTATTAATTTTGAGTTTTGTATCAATTTAGTCTAATTGATAATGTTGTTAGCGTTTTTGAATAAAAATAATTATTGAATTGGTTGACGTTAATTCACTAGGGTTAGGAGATTTATAATTTTACTCTAAAACAATAACATTTGTTACTTATATACATATTTTTTATTAAAAAAATATTAAGAACGGTAATAAATTGGATCAAATTAAAATAAAATTATAAATTGAGAATCAAAATCAAACCAATTCAAATTACAAATATCAAAATAATATAAGGACCAAAGTACACACACTTCTTTTCCAATGATTAAAAAGTGGTCATTGAGTTGGACTCTAATATTATTGTACACAAAAATGCTAAATGTTCCAAATATTTTATTAAATATTTGACCAAATATCTTATATAGGACTCACACTCAAGTAAGACATCTAGTCAAATATTTTGCAAAATTTTTGGTATCTCTACAATAACTCTATTGTAAAAGTATTTTGCGAAATTTAGTGATTAGTTGTTAAATTGATATCACGATGAGTTAAACTTTTACATCCACTTCTTGTAAATATTTAAGTCTTTCCTCCCATTATAGTTGTAGGAGTTGAACCCAAGGCTTTTCCTTAGACTGTGTTTGGTTAGAGGATTTGTTGTGAGAAATGGAAAGGGGAAAAGAAATGAAATCCCATTTTTTATTTGGTTATAATGAAAAATACAAGGAAAAAGAAAGTAAGAGGGAAATGTAATCCTACTTTTATGTCTTTTAAGCTATGTTTGGTTCATGGATTTTGGGAGAGATTTAGAAAATGAAATGCAAATAGATTTTTAATGGCACCAAAGTTCATTTGAAATTTTATTTTACCCCCCAAACTATACTTTAAAAATCAATTTGTCCCCCAAAATTAATTTTGTAACAACTCAGATTTTTAATTATTCTGTAGAATTCATACTAATATTATTTAATCACAGTTAGGGAAAATATATCATTTTTTATATATTATTATGGGTAATTTTGTAAAATAATATAATTATTAAAAATTTAGGGGTCAAGATATAAATAAATAATTAAGTTTAGGTAAGCATCAATTAATTTAGATAAGTTCGAATTAATGGAGATTAATAAGAAAGTGACACGTGGCAGTTGGCTGGGGGCTCACGAATTGAATTTGCATAAATAGGGAGAAGTTGACTCCGTAAGGAGAAATAAAGAAAGGAAAAGTAAGAGAGAAAGTAGAGAAAAGAGAGAAAAAAAATAATGGAAGTTGAAAGGGTCTTTGGTAGTGGAAAGAAATTATACCTTGCGTTACCAAAATGTATTTTACGTATGTTTTGACTTACCAAAATCTATTTTACACAAGTTATGTTTTATTAGTATATTAATAAAAGTTATGTTTTATAAAGGTTTCAGTAACGTGGATTATTTTCTGAACCTTAATTGCTTAAAGTGAAACCCATGGATATGTTTGTTTTACTTTTAAAAAATATTTGGCTATGCCTTTATATACAATTATGTTTTGTAAGTACCACTACGGAGTCCCACGCCTTGGGAACTTAAATAACTATTGGCCCCTGATTGACCACTTTGTGATCCCCTGTTTGTCATGGATCCATTGACCCCTGTAGTGATTGTCACTTAGTGACCCCTGTTCTGTTCCATTATGTACCGTGGTTATAGTTGTTTACATAATTTATGTAGTATATGTCAAATGATTTCCGTATTATATGTTAAATGATCTCTGTATTATATATGATGCATTTTAATATCAAACTCTTTTTAGCCAATAATTATCCATGGTGAATTTTATGCCCTTATACTCTTAGTATAATATTTCTCACTCTGCCATATGCTTATAGCTGTTTACCAATTTTCAGAAAACATGCAATTCAGAAATAGCTTTTGGAAAGTCTTAGACACGGGGCTGCAGAATAGACGCACATAGAACTTTTATGATATTTTTTATATGTAAATATCGGCCTTCTGGTCAATATAATTTTGTAATAAAAATAAAAGGTCCAATGATTATTTTAATACCCTTATTTAAATATTTTTCCGCTCGTGTTTATTTATTTTGTTAAAGATTTGGTCGGAGGTAACCTCAATTACTGGCCATCACGATACTTAACCCTTGGGTACGGGGAGCGGGTCGTGACAAATTTGCCTTCCAAACTACACCTTAAAAATCAATTTGCCCCCCACGTCAGCACATTTCGTCCAATTATTGATGGAATGTGACGACATGGGCCAAATTGATCAAAATTTTGAAAGTTTTGGTGTAAAATTGATATTAATCGAAATTTAGGAGTGAAATTAAAAAATGCGTGAAAGTATGGGAGCAAAATGATATTTTCTCAAAAAGGATTTATTAAGAAATCATTTTTCCTAGTTAGTACAATTATCTATGAGGGTATTATAATAAATCTTATTATTTGAATATTTGATCTCCTAAATTTTAATTTTAATATTTAAAATATTTTTTAAACAATTTTATAAGCAGATGAAGAGGTATTTTTAAATAAATGCCCCCAAAAGAAATTCCCAATTTTTTACTCTATATATACACAAACAAATGAGCCTTTCAGATATGGAAAATGAGTGAGAGCACTAATTAGTGCTATCACTAATGATGTGGCAGTGGGCTCCACCAGGAATGATTTGATATTTTGGCCTTGGTGTCGTATTTTTCTTCTTTTTTTATTGAGTGCCATGTCATTAGTGGTCTTTTTAAAGCTCCAAAATTGGTGGTCTCTATCATTGTTCTTCAGATATAGATATAGACCCAGAAACCAACCCCTTTTCCTTTTCCCATATCATAAAAGCTTTTCTCCAATGACGACGAACAATGAATTGCCTGGCGTAGAGGACCCAAATAAAATCCTCTATAATTCGGTAATCGAAAAGCTCAAAGAAATTCATCAGACAAACAATTCGGAGGATTCATCGTTTTCTCATCAGCTATCGATCCCTTGTATTTACAAGGTCTCCAAAGAGCTTCGTAAACTAAACAAAAGCGCCTATAACCCTTGCGTAGTCTCTATCGGCCCAATTCACTACAGCAATGATGATGACGATGACAAAGAGGAACAACATCTGAAAGAGATGGAGCACATCAAAATGGTTTACACAGGAGAGCTATTTTGTCGAATTGCCGGGAAATCGGCGTCTCCGGAGGATAAAGCATATTGGATGGACAAAGCACTGATGGAATGTTCAGCCGCCATGCTTCACTTTGCAGCCAGTGCCTTCAACTGTTATGCCGAGAACCTGAAACGCATCATCGAGAAGAAGATTCCTCAGCATAGGCTAGCCCAGATGCTGCTGATCGACGGTTGCTTCATACTCGAGCTTCTCTACAGGTCCTCTCTTAAAAATTGTTAAAAATTAAAGAAAATAGCTTAAAAATCAATAACTCTTATTCTTTTAATAATATCAATCATTTTTATATCCAAACTATTTAATTTTGCATTAGTTTTATTCCATCTTCAATTGCTATCTACAATCAAATAAAAAAAATTACTGATGTGTCACCCAAACTTAATTTGAAATTTTATTTTGCTCCCAAAATATTAATTAGATCAATAAATAAAATAAAATTTGGAGGTCTAATTAATATTTTAGAGATAATTTGGAGAGTAAAATGAAATTACAAACGAAATTTCGGTATCACTTCAGCAACTTTCGTTTGAGTCACTAATGGCGAGATAAAACTAATCTAGAATTAAATAATTTAAGTGTAAAATTAATATTACTAAAAAAATATAATGTGACAAAATGAAATTTCCTAAAAAAAAAATATGTAATATTGGAGACCAAAATACGAAAATATATCAATAAATAAGTATGGCCCCAACCCAACGTCACGAGTGGAATTTCGAGTACTAATTATTAAAAATTTAAGAGGTTAAATATAGTTAATTGTCAAAAAAAAGGTAATAATGATCCTTAAATAACGGATAATGTTTGGATACATGTACTTTTAATAAGATTTTTAATAAAATATTTTAATACCTTTTTATGTCTGGGCTTTTAGTCCGAAAATTATTGAATTTTTAATAGAAGTTATAAGATCTACCTAAAGTAAAACTTATTTCATGTGAGCGGGCTAAATCTGGTTGCGTAATTAGTTTATGTATTCATACAGTTTTTTAACAGGTAAATTATACTAATATCTCTTGAGATTTGAAAAAATACACTAAGCTCTATAAATTTAACATAATCATATTGTGATCAGTTAAAGTTTCAATTTACATAGACATCATTTTCATTAGTAATTTGTTAGTTATATTTGAATATAAAATAATATGAAAAATAATTTAAAAAAAAAACTCAAGGCATTTAATAAAATAAACTTTTAATTTTTAATTTTTAATTTTATCAATTTAAACTCTAAAAGTTTTATTTGTTTTCAATATAAACCATTAACCTATTATGTTAAGTAAAATCAATCAAAAGAAATAATATTTTAGTTATTAAACTCAACATAGATGTAGACAAAATGTGTATAGTATTCTTTTTGAGAGATTTATTAGGAAATTCTTTTTTAAATAGTTGTATCTCAATTAGTTCATAATATATGTTTTTTATTTCAATAAGTCCTATTATTTATACACTTGATCCACCAAATTTTAATTTTCATATTTGAGGTATTTTATGAATAATTTTATCCTTATAAATATTTTTTAAACGGCTAGTAACTTGGTGATGTGAACATTCATATTTTACAATGTGAATATTTGCATTGACGTGTGAATGTTCACATTGACGATACGAACATTCACATTGTCAATGTGAATATTATTATTAAGGATGTTTTGGTAACTATGCCTTTAATAATTAAAATATCATTTTTTCCATCAGTTTTACTTAACAAAAATAAGTTAATTGTTTATATTGAAAACAAATTAAAATATTGAAGTTTAAATTGATCAAATTAAGGACAAATTACATCATCGGTCGTTATATTTTACCCATTGTGTCATTTTGATCCCAATATTTTTAATTGGCTCAATTTTGACCCTTAATTTTAAATTATGTGTCAATTTGGTCTAATTGATAATGCCGTTAGTGTTTTTGATAGAAAATTATCACTGAATTCGTTAAAATTAACACACTAAGCTTAGTAAGTTTATAATTTTGTCCTTAAAAACATTATATATGCCCCTTATGTGAGTATTTTTCATTAAAAAAAATGCAAAGAATTGAAGTCAATTAGATCAAATTGAGACAAAATCATAAATTTAAGGTCAAAATTGAGCCACCTGAGATTATAGGGACCAAAATGACATAACGATCAAAATACAGGGACTACTGCCATAATTTGTTCTAAAATTAAAAATTCAGATATTTTGTTACAAATGTCAAATTTTGAAGTTTTTTTTTTCTTAATAATAATATTCCCAATATAATTGTCATTTCTTTTATAAGGTAAATTGAACTATTGGTCTGTCTATTTTGGGTGTATTTCAATTTGATGTTTGTAGTTTTAATTTGAATAATTTAAATTATATATTTTTAGTTTTTGTTACAATATTACCCTTCATCACTTATGGTTAGAATTTTAAATCAAAAAAAAAAAAAATTATAGAACTAAAAGGACTAAAGTGAAATTATAAAAAAATTACAAAAACCATTAATATAATTTATTTGTTACACCACAATTATAATTTTTTCGGAATTCAATTTTGATTCATCTAGTCTTGCGTGGTATCTTTTTTCATTTGAAATATTAATGACATGTAGTGGGGGCCTCGGGGGTACAATAGAGTTGAAATTGTTCCAAAAAAAAAAAAAGGGTTAGATTGACAATTTATTTAAACTGGGGTACTAACATGAAATACAAACTTTCTTTCTATACTCATTTTTTATACTAAATGAAGTGTGAATAATATAATTGATTAATGATTTAAGAAAAATATGAGAGACTGTTACGTAGAGATTGTGATTCTCTCTCTTACATATTTGGAATAGAAAGGTTCTATTAGACCATTCAATGATAAATATAATGATCTTTTTTCAATTTAATATAATTATAGATTTATATTTCTACCTTATATCCATTAAAATATGCGATAAAAATTCTCTAGTATATATAAAAAAAGAAAAGGTTCAAAATTTATTATGATAAATATTAGGGGTGAGCATGGTCCAGATTGGACCGGATTGGAGTAAAACCAGAACCAATCCGTTATTTACGGATCTTGAAAAATTGGAACCAATCCAATCCGTTTAAATCGTGGAACCAATCCGAACCAATCCATTTAAATACGGATTGGATCGGTTTAGGACCACGGATTTATATAATTAAATAACAAAAATATATATATAACACTTTATTTACATAAAAATATAAATATAGTACCATATTAGTTTCACAATAATAATATATCTTTTCATAATAGCGACAAACTGTTCTAGAATTTAAACAACCATAAAGAAATTAGTTCTACCATAAATATTTAGACCATTACAAATTAACACTAAAAACTAGCAAACAAAAGTAATAAAAGAAGATATTATGCAAGTTTAGATTTGGATTTAAGTTTTATATGAAATAAGAGAAGATACTATGCAGGAGGGTGTATAATAAAAATATAGACTATTTGTATACGGTCCGGATCGGTTCCAATCCGGAACCGTGAGATTCAATCCGGAACCAATCCGTGAACTACGGATTTTTAATTTTTCAATCCGGAATCGAACCACGGATTCAAAAAACCAATCCAAACCTATTGGATTGGACTGCACTGAATCGGATTACGAATTTCACGAATTTCTTGTTCAGCCCTAATAAATACTCTAATTGATTCTCCCATCATTGCTATATAACAATATTTATTCAAATTTATATTGTGACTCAGCAGGTCTTACACCGTGAATAATAAAATTATCCATGGTGACCCTCTGTTGGGCAACAGTATGTTCAGGTTGGGCATCCGACACGACTTGCTACTTCTCGAGAACCAGCTTCCCTTCTTCATCCTTAATGAATTGTTCAGCAAAACCATCAAAACTATCCCAGATCATCCATGGTCATCATGCCCTCCCCTTACCCAGTTTGTCCTATCATTCTTTGGCGATATGATGAATTGCGAAAATGATGATATTCATAGTACAACCATAAATCCAGAAAACGATAATTGTTTTCATATACTCCATCTTTTACACAGTTGCTACCTACCTAGCTCTCACGATGCTTCAGAACTTTCCCATTTCTCGCATCGCGCATCGGACCTCAATCGTGCTGGAGTCAAGTTCGTGCCCGGTGACGGAAAAGGCCAATTCGACGTCAACTTCAAAGAAGCTTCCTTACTTCTATGCTTGTGTGACAGTGCTAAGTTCGAAATCCCACCTTTATCTATTGACGACCTCACAGAGCCCTTCTTGAGAAACCTCATTGCTTTCGAGCAGTGTTGCTCTAACATCAAGCGTCGTCAGTTCACGTCTTATGCCTTTCTTATGGATTCGCTCATCGATTCTACTGCTGATGTCGAATTGCTCGAACAGGCTGACATTATAACTAATTATTTGGGTGCCAGTGAAGAGGCCTCGGTTCTGTTCAACAATATCTGCAAGTATGCTGAATTGGAAATGTTCGATTTTGCCAAACCCCGCAAAGATGCGGAGAATCACTGCGGTTATCTGTGGCCGAGATTTCTAACATCGTTGAAACGCGATTACTTCTATAACCCGTGGTCGGTTATCGCTGTTGTTGCAGCATTTATCTTGTTCGTCATTGCAGTGGTGCAGACAGTCTACACACTCCTAACCTATTACGGAGTAGAATATGGAACTGTGAGAGAGTCGTGTGATATGCATTCAGTGTTATGAAGTATGTTTGATTGTCCACCTTCCTAGCTAGAAGTTGGAGCAAGAAGTTGAAAATATGGGTTCAATAAACGCTGCAAGTTACTATAAGTTTGAATGAAATTGTTGTATTGTATTTAATGTTTTTATATTGTCAAGTTTATGTATATTTAGTTTATGTATTTCAGAGTTGTAAGTGTGCGAGTAAGAAGAAGAATAAGGGAGTGAGAGTCTCAGAGAGAATAATTTCTTCTCTTGTAAGTTATTATTTGTTTCTGTTTGTTTGAGTCAAATATAAGTGTGTGTTTCAGATTAGTAAATCTCTCTCCGTAAGTGGCTTGATATCCCACTCCGATCAACACTCAAGCTTTATTTGCATTTAAGATTGGAAAATGATAAATAAATATACTTTTTAGATTTATTTTTATGTCTAATGATGTGTAAATAAAATGGTTGATTAATGATTAGAAAATATAACAGAGAAAAATGACTTAGATAATTTAATGAGGAGAATTACTTCCAGTCCAAAATCTAGACTGAAGGAGCTGTTTGGGCCCATGGAGTCCACCGCGTGTCCCGTTTTAATAATTTGAACCGTTTATTTTGTTTGACACTTTGTATATTTCATCCTCACAAAAAATTAGATTGATTTCTGATAGCTATAACATGTTCAATTTATAGTATTTTCACTAAAAAATGGACGATAATTGTATTTTTAGAAGATAAGCAATATATTTTTTTTGATGACAAAAATAATAATTTAAACAAGTTGTAATTATCTGATCAATTTAATTTTTTTGTGGATGAAATATACAAAATGTCTAACATAGAAAACGGTTTGGATCATTGAAATAGGACTCGTATGCCTTACGAGTTCAAATAGTTCCCTCCAATCTAGATTTTAGGATGGTGGGAATCCTTCTCCTTTAATAAAGTGCTATATATCATTGAGTTTAGAAAATAAATCTAAGTTTTGGATCTGAATAATAGTACTCTTTAAGATTTGAGGTCGGAAGTGGAAAAAAAAAAAAATTAATAATAATAATAGATGCCAGAAGTGAACAACAATCCAGGACAAACGATCAAAAATTTTATGCAAAATGTGGTATGTGATAGAGTGCAACCCAAACTTCTGGGGCGGGGCTTGTAACTCTGTGCTATTTTGGAAAGTCGGTAAAAAATTAATTTTTTATTTTTTTTAATTTATTATCTTTTTGTAAGTAAAAAGTATGAGAAGTAATGCGATTTAAAATAGATAAAAAGTTAAAAGCTGATCTTTTTTTTTTCTTTTTCCAAAAGACTACTCTGAGTAGAATCTTTCATGTTTGTATAGTTTCTTTTTTGTTTATTTCACTGACATAAAATTCTTTATTTATTTTTATAAGAATAATCATTGTTTATATCTTTGCAATCATTTTGAATTATGTTAGGGACTCTAAATAAATTATCAATTTTTTTACTAAATCTTTCACATGAGTGTGGGATCTACACAAATTGCATGTGTGTGGGTCCCACATCCATGTGAGAGGTTTGGTAGAAAATTTGACAATTTATTTGAGATCTATAGTATTTTCTTTTTTTTTTTTCTTGTTTTATGCTTTGATCATTGTGTTCCGACTTTAAGAAGTTTTTTTTTTTAAACTTTTTATTTGTTTTTGAATTATGTTAGGGACTCTAAATAAATTATCAATTTTTTTACTAAATCTTTCACATGAGTGTGGGATCTACACAAATTGCATGTGTGTGGGTCCCACATCCATGTGAGAGGTTTGGTAGAAAATTTGACAATTTATTTGAGATCTATAGTATTTTCTTCTTGTTTTTTTCTTGTTTTATGCTTTGATCATTGTGTTCCGACTTTAAGAAGTTTTTTTTTTAAAACTTTTTATTTGTTATTATTATTAACATTGAAACTCCTAAATTATTGAGAAGTGTTACTTTGATTTTTTAAATTATAAAAACATACAAATGAATTTCTTAAACTATTGAGAAGCATCACTTTATCTCTTAAATTATAAAAGTATAGAAATAGAACTCCTAGACATATTTCATTTTGACCCGTTTTGTTAGAGGGTCTAACATATACACTTTTATAGTTTAGGGGTTTATTTATATGCTTTTCTAGTTTAAGAGGTAATCTTCATATAAATAAACTTTTTAAAAAAATATTCTAAAAAAATCAAATTATTTATCCAAGCAACTCAATTTTTAAATTATTTAGCAAATTTATTGACTTTTTTAAACAAGTTCAAAATATGATTTATAAAATCACAAGTTGATAATATGATTTTATATTGACATGACCCACTGGTGTGATACACGTTTATGTAATCATATCTTGAAGATACAATTTTCATGCTGAAATCATATTTTGAACCTACAATTTTAAAAAGTCAATTATTTTGATAAATAATTTGAAAATTAGTTATTTTCATAAATAATTTAATTTTTGAAATATTCCCAAAAAAAAAAAAAAACTCAACCTTTAAGGGCTGTGAACATATAATTGTTCTTATGTTTTACAATAATAATTAAATAAAAATAAAACCAACCAGAGAAAAAAAAAACAAAGTGATGGAGTCATTTGACATGGTGACAATTTATTTATTATCATTATTTTTTTTTTTTTTGGGGGGGGGAATTGCATCCCAGTGTAATTTCAGAAAAATAATTACACATATATGACAAATTTTATTATTTTAATTTTTAATTTTTATAAATTTTATCACTATTTTGTAATTATTTTTTGAAAATGTTACTAATTTGATATGTTCTTTCTTAATAGACATTCTGTAGTTTATAATATGTATAAATGGAAATCATGTTGAATTGCTAGCTATCTTCAATAAAAAAGAAATAATAATAAATAAATAAAACTCTGACTAGATTTTTTACTATTAAACACAGGAGGCCTATCATTTATTAGGAGTGTTTGAGGATCAAGTTGGATCGAGTAATCTCCCATCCGTCATTTGTTCGAATTTATGTGGATTGAAAATTATCAATCCTTATCCGTTTGCTTAGTTAATGGATGAGAATTGAGCAAGCTTGTAATGGTGGGTGTGTGCAGATTAATTTGACGATTTGGACTTTACTATTTTGTACATATTTTAGATTATTTTTTTACTATTTGAATCCAAATTTTTTTATTTTTTATTTTTTATAATTAAAATAAAAGTCAAACTTTTATACTTCATAAGTAAATAATATTATTATTAAATAAAATATCTTTTTTTATACATACAAAGCATAAAAAACATATTTGGTGGCCATCTGATAGAAGTTCGACAATGATAAAATGTAGCAGCATTTTTAGTTTGTTTTTTTTTAAAGATTTTTTTATAACAATTATAAATATATAAGACCAATTGATACAAGTATTTTGTTTTGGGACTACATAAATTTTGAATTTTGTGTATGAGATTTACTGGAAAGTGCCCAAACATCAAATTCAAGGCCCAAAAAATTTCTTTTTCAAATTGGACTGCCTATTGATCTTACAAGTCGAAGATCAGGGGAGAAAAAGAACCCACCAAAAAACAGAGGACCTCAAGAAGCCTTGGTTTTACAATCTGGGCTCTCCTCTTCTGCAATCCGAAATTGTAATAATCGATTTCAAGATATCAGTGAAGCCATTGATGAGAATGAACTTGCAATTGACAAAGCAACAAAATCCCTCATTCCAGCGAAAGAGCCTAATACAGAATAATTAAAAGTAATTTTAAAAAAAAATCATCACAAAATATTTTAATAAGAATGTCAATCCAAACACGAGAAAATATTAAGTGTGAAGGTGATACCATTCTATGCAATGTCATCAATCAATAAAAAATTACAAATGAGATTAATAGAAAGTATTCCCCCATCAACCTAACAATTAGGGACGAAACTAGGATTTTATCATTTGAGTGGCCAAAAGACAAATAATTTTTTTGCACTATATACATATGCACACATGTATGTACAATATGATATATAAATTATGTATACACTCAAAAAAATTCAAATACCACAGAAGTAATTTCTAATAGGATAAGATTTTTTTGGTAGAAAATAAAAAGAGAACACAAGATAAGAGAAAAATGAGATATATATATTTTTATATTGAGGGTCATTTTATGTATAAAATGAAATATATTTTTAAAATACTATAACAAATCATATTTTTCACAAAAACTGGGGAGCCATAGCCCTCCATAATCTTCTTCTAGTTCTATCCCTGTTAACAATATTGTGGTCACGTGGTAGTTTGTGTGAAACTTGTAAGAGGAGAAGCTGATTTTCCATTTCACTACAACATTTTCTTAGTTTAGTGACATTTGAAAGTGCCACAAAACTACTCTTCTAATGACATTTTTTGGACTTGTGGTATTTTGAACAAGTGCCACTTCTATCGGTGCCACGGTAGATACGAGTGCCACGGTAGATACTTGCAAGTGTCACTGCACCATCATGGCTAAAAACTTTCAATGACATTTTAATATCATGGTAGCTATTATTTGTGGCACTATCAAGCACCATTAAAAAAAGAGTTAGTGACACTTATAAGTGTCATTACATCATCAAAACTAAAACCTTTCGGTGACACTTTAATGTCATGGTAGGCACTATTCGTGACGTTATCAAGTGCCATTCGTGACGATAATTCGTTGTAGAACAATTTGATCCGCTCTTGCAGAGACTCGAACCGCCAACCTCTCGCAACATAAACCTTATACACCACACTCTTCCCACTACACCTCTATAGCACCATATGATTATATATGCAACATATATTATTTATATAGTACATACATCTATATTAATATAAAAGTATATGAATAAACATAATTATTTTATTGAACATAATTTATGTAAAATAAACTATTTACTAGTAAAATAAAAAAAGACCACTTTTGGCGACTAAAAATATTTTTTGGTCGCCAATTCTATATTTTTGGCTACTCATTGTTTTTTAGTTGCTAAAAAACTTAACTTTTGCCGACCAAAATCGGATTTAAAGCCTACTTGCGGGTAGCAAACCATTTTCAAAAACAAACATGAAATGTTTTGTTCCAATCTGGGCGACCCGGTCTATACTTATATGCTGTGCGCATCATATAGTAACCTAGGCTAATAAACCGGAATAAGAACTCGCAATGTTTTCAAAAATTGATATCATGGTTAGTAGAGGCCGGTCTATGACCGGGCGAGCGGGGGTGCTTACGAAGTGACCTTCCCCAATCGTACCCAAGTTCCCGAGCCGAGGCAACTTTGGTGATGACGGACACGTGGCCTTTTGTCACCGAGTCAGGGTTTCCTAAATTTCCCAAAATAAAATAT